TTTTTTGATCTCGTCACTTCGAACCAGTTTCTGAAGAAGGTTGCAACATGGCATCCGAAACGTCAAACCTTTTATTAAAAGACGCACGGCAAAACCCGAAAGTTTCTAGTGTTAGTTCTAATCTTAGTTTAATTCACACCGGCCGTGAAAGCCTTCGTACTCATAATTAATTAATCGGATTAAAAAGAATAAGAATTAAACTAAAATGTTACCATTTTTATAATATTAATGATACTAGATCCTTCCTCCCAAGTGTAATCGGAATCGCAATATAAAGGTTTTGGGTTCAGTTTATTTGAACTTCTTGAATCGTTTAAAGCTTGATGGAATAAATTAACAGCATCGTAAAGCAAAGCTGTTTCAAAACTAATCATTTTTCTTGTTGGGAAACGATAATTGCTGTAATCTTTAAGTTCTTGTTCGAATTCAAACACTTTCGGCGAGTTTGGATCGAAAAATCTGATCTAAAATAATTGTTTTATTAATTTTATTAAATAAGATTTAAAATTATTACTTACCGATGTAATGTTACTCCCTGCATATTGATATGTCTCCATATCAATCGTTTGAATATCAAAATTATAAATGAAATAATGATAATTTTCAACTAATAATCCAACTTGTTGGGCTTGTTTAAAAAATTTCTCCAAAGTTTCGACGCTACAAATCAAAACGAAATGTGTGTCACCTTGCTTCTTAATCTTATACATAATCTGTCTATAATTTTCCTCATTTTTATCTAACTCTTCCAACCCGAATGAATACTCGTTGTGTTTATAAACCAACAACTTGTTAATTTTCGCTAAACTTTCGTTATCGTCGTAAACAATTGTGAATTTTTTCCACTCATACGCTTGCAAAATCTCGATCAAAACGTCCTCGATGATTTCGGGGTGTGGGTGGAGATTAATAACGTTATTTCGACCATCGTTTGGGTCCCAATGTATCTCAATAAGCGGCATCTCCTTGTTATCGCATAGTGCCTGGATGTGTTTTGATGCCCCACCCGGAGATGAGTTAGGCCCAAAAAGACCAACTATTTCCAAACCGAATAAACTACACGTCGCCGATGAAACAGCAAGGATATTACGAGAATCCACACTTTGCACAACGGATTGCAAATGGATCGTTTCCGAAGTGTGCTTTGCGTTGATTAAGTCGATCGCCAAACGGAAAGCATGCTCGGTTTCTTCTTTATTTTTATCAAAAAGACCACCTTAAAACAATCTTTTTGATTAAATCGAACAGGTTTTAATCTCGTACTTACCTATTTTTAGGTGTCGTTTTTGTTCTGTAATGTTTATTAAAATAGCGATTAATAATAACGAGTAAATGAGTGGTGATTGTCTTGACATTTTTCAACAGACTGACTTTTAACTTCTCGTTACAGAATCTATTTCTGGGATTTTATGCGATTTATTTATAGATCATTTATTCGAGTTTCAAATACAATGCGCGTCAAAAGCTAACTGAAATGATTGAAATATTATTTTGTGCCAACATAATTCTTATTTTGTAAATCAATTTAATTTTTTCCGATTAAGATAGGATATTGCACGTCGCACTATGACTTTGTGGATTTAAATATGTCTCAAAGTCTTCTGTTTGCCATTTTTTTGTATGCAAATGAGTTCTGAAATTTGACAGCTGTCATCTGCGATTATTTTGATTATTAACACTACGGGACAAGGCGTTATCATTGTGAAAGCCTTTTTATAAATGGGGAAGAAACATCGCTGCTGTAAATGAAAGTTTCGTCGAAAACCGGGAACATTAATTCCGCACAACAGCTTTAACCCTTTGTGTCCCGATGGTACTTTAAAGTACCGGTAATTTTAAACACTCATTTTAAACTGTAGTTATCTATTCGGCGCATTTAGAGCTGTCTATACTTTCTACTATACAAGTGTATACAAGAAATAATCTGTATAAAAAACGTCGCAATCCGCACTGTAGGATTTTTAGGTACACTTTAAACTTATTCATCCAGATGTGAGGTTAGAAGTTTAGTGAAAAGTGGTGCTGTTGAATTTTGTTGTTCAAGAAGGTATTTCTTTGATAAATGGTTATTAGGTGTGATTATTACAGATCATTTTAAAAAGAAAACATTGAGCTTAAATTTAAAATAAGTCTCATTCCTTAATTTCAATAAACATGGTTTCTAAGAATTTTTAAATTAGCATCTTTTTTGACACTTTTAGGTTATACGAAAATGTTAGTTTTAACTCAATACTCTTTTTCTCAATATTTTTTTAATTCAACCCATTGATTGTTATACATCGATTTAAACAGAAAGCTTCAAGTTTCAATTTAAAATAAGTTTTATTTCTTAATTTCAATAAACACGGTTTCCAGGAATTTTTGAATTAGCATCTTTTTTGACACTTAGACTATGCGAAAATAGGGGGATTGCATATTTTGCTAAAATTTTATTCCAAAGGCCTTTACTGAGTGTATTTTGATAGCGTTTTAATTCTGTCTGATTCTGTCACAAAGTTTCAAAATGTTTGACTTCTTGGGACACAAAGGGTTAAATTTCGAGAACCGCCTCGTAACGATATCTGGCGATTTCTGACTTGGGTACTCAAACTAATTTACCACACACAGTGCCGTCATTTCGTTATGAGTGAACCAAAACCGAAACAGGCAATGTTGTAATTGTCAATGTGTGCGATACCACAATGTGATTACGAAATTCTTGAAAATTCTGAAAATTTCATGACAAGTGGATCTGCGTTCACAATCGTGGGAGCCATCTTTTCTGCCTAGCACGTTTGTTCTACTTCCCGCCTCTGTTCTAGCTTATTTTCTTTTTTTTTCTCTGTTTCTGTTTTTCTTCTACACTGAGAAAAATGATATGGAAAATTGAACTAAATCAATTTAGTTGTAAGACAAATAGTCATTTTTGCTAAAAAATTTATTCATATACCTAACGTAATTTAGCCGACATATACAATTCTAATTAGTCAAATTTATGATAGTTAATTTATCTATTTACTGAGGAGATATAACTAATTTTTAGAAAAAGAAACTACGTCGTGGAAACTAGTTGATAAGTCTAGTTGTTGAGTAGTTTAGTTACCTAAAGTATTTGGTATTTTGTGTATTTTGTTTTAGTCTGAATATCTATATACATTTAACAATGAAATATTTTACCTAAATGGACAAATGTACTATTATTAAATACTTTATTTAAATGTATTTTAGTCGTTTTGTCTACCTGTTTTCATCGTCACATCGATCGTTTATAGAAAATATTTCTTAATACAAAAAATTAGGTAAGACGTCTATATTTAAGTAATAAAGCTATGTATAACCAGTAAAGAGAAAAGAAATCTCTATCAAATGAGCCTAACGAAAGGGTACATAGCCATTTAAAAAACTTCAAGTGTTATTCGTTACTCATTTGTTTTCTGAATTAAAAACAATTGAATGCAGTCTTATTATGGCAAATAAAATATTAAACAACTTTTGTATAAAATGTTTTTTTATAAAGTTGATACTTACCAAGATATATGCTATATTCCATATATAATGGGCACCCTGTATATTGAAACTAATTTGATTAGGTATTTATAAGATATATTTTTCGATCATTTATCTATCTTAAATTATCGAAATAGAATTAGTTTTTATAACTAGTAGTAGTAGTTAGCTAATTTTTGACTGAAAATTCTGATAATATGACTAAATTTTAGGTAGTTTTCCCACATTATTTTTCTCAGTGTATCTCATTTCTCTGGATAACTATTTAGTTGCCCTCTTTTCTACTCAATCTCTATTTAGTCTCTTTCTTCTATTTTCAGTCGCTGTCACAGATTTTCAGTCTCTTTTCTTTCTGCTCAATATCTATCTTCTGTTCAGCTTCTTTTATAATTTTCCAATCTTTATTCAGTCTCCCTTCTTTTGCCTATTGTCTTTCCAGGCTCTATTCACCCTCTTTTTGCTATTAACAGTCGCTTTCATGTCATTCTAATCTTTGCTCAATCTCCCTCCTTTCCTCCCCGCTTCCATATTGTCTTTCTAGTCTTCGTTCAGCCCCTTTCTTCTATTATCAGTCTCTTTCATATCGTTCCGGTCTCTTGTGAGTCTTCCTCCTTTTTGTCCAGTGTCCATTTTATATTTGCAGTCTCTATTCAGTCTCTTTTCTCTATTTTTAGTCGCTCTCACGGATTTTCAGTCTCTTTTCTTTCTGCTCCATGTGTTTCTTGTGTTCAGCCTCTTTTATGTTTTTATAATGTCTATTCATTCTCCCTCCTTTTGCCCATTGTCTTTACAGGCTCTATTCACCCTCTTTTTGTTATTACCAGTCGTTTTCATGTCATTCCAGTCTTTGCTCAACCCCTTTCTTCTATTACCAATCTCTTTTATATATTACCAGTCTCTGCTGAGTGTTCCTTTTTTTTGCCTAGTGTCCTTTTTATATTTGCAGTTTCTGTACAGTATCTTGTTTCTATTCACAATGTTTTTCATGTCTTTTCTAATCTCTACTAAGTCACAAAATAACCAGGAGTGATACTGGTAGTATCCCGACAAACCTGACGCCATATCATGAGTTATCAAGGTATTGCTGCTATTAGTGATAAAAATTTGCAACTCGCGCTAAGATGTCGGATTTTAAATCGAGGTCACAAGACGAGGTGCCGCTAACATCAAACGAATCGACGCACAGTGGTCCGAGCGGTAAGAAAACCCGATCGAAAATATTATTTTGGTGTTACCAATTAGCTAGCTTTATGAAACTTGGCATATGATTATAAGACCAAAAGGGTAATGTTGTGTCAAAATTTGAATTAAATTCGTCAACCGGAAGTAGTACTACGCAAGCAGTACTTTATTTAAATTCATACTCATTTTCTTTTCATATAAATTAGGACTTTAAAGAAGAATATTACTATAAAATTTTTTGCAAAACATTAGACGTATATTACTTCACATTTTTTTGTGTAATTACGTGATCGCAAATTCCTATCTAAATTGTTTTATAGAGGACCTATACCGGATGTCTCACGTAACTGGTTCGTTAGAACTTTTTTAGGTACCACTATTCGTAGCGGTTTGAAATTTTGACAACATGGATTGTTCATTCGAAGCTTTCGATCTAAAATACTTTCAAGATGGCCGCCACTTCCGGTCTACCGGATGTAGACCACAACTTCGTTATTTTAAATGGAATGCTATAGTTTTTAATGCACCTTTTAATTATATTCGACAAAATAAGTTGACTTTGATAAAAGTTATTGGTACCTACCATTTTTCGTTTTCGAGTTATTTTGTTTTTAAGTTTTTCTTTGGCAAATTACTTTATGCTCTTTAAAACCTTATATCGTTCATTCAAAAAAGCTCTAAATTGGCACGATTACTCTTGAGATGTTGTCAAACAGATTGTCATTTGTTGTATTAAAGTATCTTATACAGGGTGGTCAAAAATTGAATTATCGTTTCTCCATATTCAATGGTAAGAAAGTCGAAAATTTTAAATGGAACGCCCCATATTTTTTTACCCTATCAGAAATGGAATTTGATAAAAATGTGGCAAAATTAATTGGCAGAATTAGTTGGTTAGATAGCTCAATTTTACTTAGCTTTTACTAAAAATGTTTTAAGAACTATTCGAGAATAAACTCATCGCTCTTAATTTGAAGTGATATTGGAGACCATAATACGTAAGTTTGCAGCCTACTTATAGTAGAATTTTCCCATGATACTGAGATAGTCCACATACATTTCAAATTATTCGAGATAATATAAAATATTTTGTTATATTCACCAACATAACAAAATTTATCTCAATTTGTGTGAGTCTTCTTCATTTTCTAGATCTTGTTCCTCTATATTTACTTCTTCATCATTATTGTCTTCTTCTTCACTTTCTTCATCATCATCATCATCTTCTTCTTTACCTTCCTTTTCTTCTAGAGATTTGTCCAGTATAAGTAAATTTTTCATGTCTTCATTCATATTTTTATATCTTTCTGAACATTCTTTATAAAAGTTACTAATAAATGGATCGGAGCTCAGTAATAGTCTTTTAAATAAATCTTCATTTGTTTGAAGTCTACCACATTTTCTTGTGTGACACTCTCTAAATCTGCGTACTTGTTTGTTTTTTGCTTCTTGATAAATAAGATCCACAATTATGTGTTAAGTAATCTTTGACTGCCAATTTTTTGGTTAAGACGCACGTTGGCACAAGATTTCTTTCTTATGCTATGTACAGGGTCAGCCAAACTCGACGCCCCAACTTTTCTATGGGAAGCAGGTAAAATTTTCGAAAAAAAAATGTATACCATTTTAAATAGTATCTTCTCAGCTTTAAGAAACATCAGGCGTTACAAATTTTGGACGACGACGCTAGGCGTCGCGACGTACCCAAATTGATTTTTTCAACGAACACATTTTTTTCGGTTTAGGAATAGGATGCCTATATAATTCTATACAATGTTGAATAAGAATGTTTTTTTATATCTCTAATAGTTTTTAATATATAGCGGGACATGTAAATTAATATTGACGAGCATCATTATAGTAATTCTTCCATCATAGGTAGCCATGGACTAAAAATTTACTAATATAAAATAATAATGTAATAGATCAGGAAGTTGGTTTACAAAACATTTTAATAAACTGAATAGTAACAAAATAACAACGAAATAAAAGTATAGAACAATTTGTTGAGACAATCATCAAATTTTTTTAAAACTTAAAACAATAAATTTTGATTTTAATAAATTAAAACAACAGAAACATAATATGTTGCACCTACAAAGTGTGCTCAAGCTGACCGCCATTCGCCGCCAAACAGTGCTGAAACCGGCTTCTCACTTCATTATGAGTAACTTTTCTAAGAGTATCACGACTTATCGTATTAAAAGCATCACGAATTTTTTGTTTAAGATGTTCAACGTTGTTTGTGACAGTACTGTATACAATGTTCTTGATTGTGCCCCATAAAAAGAAGTCCAGGCAGCTTAAGTCTGGTGACTTAGCTGGCCAACGCACTGGACCAGATCTTCCTATCCATCTCTCAGGATATACGCGGTTCATATATTGCGTAACAATTGCAGAATTGTGATAGGGTGCTCCATCCATTTGAAACCATACATTTTCCTGCATGAGAGGTATATCTTGCAATAAATCGGGCACTTCATTTTCTAAGAAATGGAGAAAGATTGGTCCATTAAAATTGTAATCGAAAAAATATGGACCCACTAAATATCGATCGATTATGCCGCACCATACATTAATTCCAAAGTGGCCTTGATTTTCGACTTCATTAATCACATTAGGATTTTCAGTGGCCCAGTATCTTTCATTCTGCCTATTTGGAAGCCCATTACTTACAAATCGACTCTCATCAGTCCATAAAATGTTCTTATATATCCTTCTATTGTAGTCTTCCAATATGGCCATATCCGCTAAAAAATCTATGCGTTTATTACGGTTATCTTCATTTAAAAGCTGCAAGTTCTTCAATTTGTATGCAAAATATCCGTTCTTCTTAAGTATTCGACGTATGGAGGAATAGGAAATATTTAATTGTTGACTTGCCATATTAACAGATGCTCTAGGATTATGTTCAAAAAACTGACAAACTTCAGCTACGACGCCATTATTGCATACGATTTTTTTAATAGGAACATGTTTCCTACAGGAAAACGCGTCTGTATTTTTTCTTAAATTTTGTTCCAATCGGGTAAAAANAATCTTTGACTGCCAATTTTTTGGTTAAGGCGCACGTTGGCGCAAGATTTCTTTCTTATGCTATGTACACCATACCTTCAGCAATAAAAAAATGTTAGCTACAATTGTTCGATTTTGTTCGCTCGCAAGATATTTAATTTAAAAGATTGAATGGTCAAAAAATATAAGTATTTATTGACGTCAATAGAAATGGTTGTAATTTTTTTCAACAAACATCTTTTGAAATTTGGAAAGGCGTAAAATGAAGACCTTTCTGTACTTTATAAGAAACCAACGACACAATATTTTCAAGTAGTGATATACCATCTTTTTTGTTTTCTAAAGTTGTGTCGTTTTCTAAAAAATTTCCTTATATAAAATAAGGTAATTGTAATAGCAATTTATTTCGCGCAGTAGCTATTATAAAACATCAAAGACTTCATAAACTTCACTAAGAGTCTATTAATAGTTAAAATATATGTAATATTTAAAAAAACAACACTATAAAATTTTTTTTTTATTGATTTTCGATCGGGTTTTGAGTGTTTTCGGACCACTGTGCGACGTTAGTGTCATTTTTGGTTATTCGGTGGTATTGCTGCTATTGATGGTAAATTAAGTTGCCTCTCTCATTCAATGTGCGTTCATCGCGCGTATGGTTCCTCGCGATAAGATGGCGGATTTTAAATCGAGGTCTTCGAGGACTAAGTCTTCTTCCTTTCTGCCCAGTGTGCTTCTTTTATTTCCAGCCTCTTTAATGTCTCTTTAATCTCTCCTCAATTTCCTTTCTTTCTACACAGCCTCCATTCAGTTTTTTAATCTCTTTCTTTTATTACTAGTCTCTTTCGTGTCTTTTTAGTCTTTGCTCAATGTCCCTCTTTTCTCCCCTGCGTCTTTCATATATTTCAGTCTCTATTCAGTCTCTTCCCTCTATTCGCAATCTCCATCATATCTTTTCTAGTTTGTACTCAATCTCATTTCATGCATCTTGTCTCTGCTCACTTTCCTTTCTTTCTGCCCAGCCTCCATTCCGCTGCTTAGCGTTTTTCTTCCATTTGCAATCTCTTTCATATTTTTTCTAGTCTCCACTCAATCGCCTTCCTTTCTGCCCAGTATGCTTCTTCCATTTCCAGTCTCTTTCATGACTCTTCTGTCTCTATCCAATTTCCTTTCTTTCTACCCAGCCTCTATTCTGCGTTTTTTTCTATTACTACTTCTCAGATTTCTTCTGATCAATGTCTCTTTTGTATTTACAATCTTCTTCTTTACTTTCACAGTCTCTTTCTGCAGTTTTCTTTTCGGTCTCCTTTTTAAATTGTCACTCTCTTCGTTGTTTTTCCAGTTTCTGTTGATTTTTGATGAGTTTATTTTGATCTGGATATTGAAAAATCAAATGTAGGTATTAAGCAAAGACAATTTTTTGAAGGTTAGATTCATCAAAATTTATTTAATAAACAATATTCTACACAAGTTAAGATTAATTCTAAATACAATCTAAGTATAAAGATTAAAAATAAATTAAAATCTAAAATTGCTTCGAATCCTTACTAGATATATACATGTATTTTTTTTCGTTAATCTTTTTTCTTTGGGGGCTTATAAAAACATATAAAAAATATATCACTTTTCAATAAAACTTATATCTATAATCAATTATTAATGGTACTAAATCTACTCAAAAATAGAGATTGAACGGAATCATAAAAAGTTTTTATGACTCATATTATGGGTTTATCCTTTTCGGTTTGCTAATTGGTAACGTTTGGATGATTTTTAACATAGAGACAACCGGGGCTTCGAACATTAAGGAAATAACAAAGCCAAAAACGTACGACATGACTACTTGACCGATGAAAACCGCGATCATTAATGGCTTTCCTAGATGCAACGGGCTGTCCATGTGCATTACCATCACTCTCATTACTAGTGGATGTAAGAGGTAAGCGCAATAAGTTATTCTGCTAACGGGGTATAAAATGGTTGCTGATAAAATCGAATTTATAAATCCACCATTTCCTGTTGCGCAAGCTACGATAATCCAAGCTAATCCCAAAGCCCACGCTGAGTGACTTAAGCTGCTATAAGCAGCACCGGCTAAAGGAGATAAATCAACTTCGTATAAACCATAAACTAACGATAAAAGACAAGCGGCTGATGCCAACCACCCAACGAGGTTTCCAAGCTAAAATAAAATATTAAATTAATTAGGTTATAAAGAATAAAAGAAATAAACTCACTAAAGATATTCTTATGCGACAATTTGTTTTGAATAGTAACCACCCAGAACACATCCCGATTAAATAAGGTCCCAATCTGGTCCAAGGTTTATCATAAATTTTATCAAACAAAGCTAAAGGATCGTTCGTAGATGGGGAATGCTCATTATCATAGGAAATATATGCCGTAGTAATCCAAGAACTTAATAAGAAAACCACCATGCTTATAACGGCCGTTTTAAAATAACTAAAACATTCAATAAGTAATAATTAAATTAAAATTGGCATTTTAAACAAACCTTGCTGCAACAATCAAAAAGATTGCCCCCAAAACGTAAAATTGAGTGTCATCGCTTAAATACCAACTCCATAACATGCACTGAAATAAATCACCGAAATAAATTTTTAATATTAACAAATAAAGGGATTTTTCATTATGAGCGATGCATTTTGTATTTAACATATCTCGAATAAGAGTGAAGTTGACTTTGCAATTCTTTCAAATTTTGAAAAATTCTACGATACTTTCTAGTTCTAGGTCTAGTGTTCTAGTTTTACACTGTCACTAGAACTAACACAAGACCTAGAACTAGAATCATTCGGGTTTAGCCGTTTTGAGAGACGTGAGGCTAAATCCGAATGTTTCTAGTTTTCGGTCTAGTGTTAGTTCTAGTTTTAAATGATATTTAGCGTTATGTTGTGGTATATTTCTTGGATATTTCAATAATATTATCTTATTGTTTTTATATCACATCATAAACTGGAATCTTTAAGCTTCAATTTAACATACTTATCATATCATGATTCTTAAAAACACAATAGATATCATTTTTTGAAAGTTTTGTATTTTCTTCGATTTATAAATTTGACAGTTTTTCCTTTANAATAATATTATCTTATTGTTTTTACATCACATCATAAACTAAAATCTTTAAGCTTCAATTTAACATACTTATCATATCATGATTCTTAAAAACACCATAGATATCATTTTTTGAAAATTTAGTATTTTCTTCGATTTATAAATTTGACAGTTCTTTCTTTAGTAAGCTTTTCTAGGATATTTCAATAATATTATCTTATTGTTTTTATATCACATCATAAACTAGAATCTTTAAGCTTCAATTTCACATACATATCATATCATGATTCTTAAAAACACAGTTGATATGATTTTTTGAAAATTTAGTATTTTTTTGATTTATAAATTTAACAGTTTTCCTTAATAATGTTTTCTTGGAAATTTCAATAATATTATCTTAATGTTTTTATATCACACCATAAACTAGAATCTTTAAGCTTCAATTTAACATACTTATCATATCATGATTCTTAAAAACACGATAGATATCATTTTTTGAAAATTTAGTATTTTCTTCGATTTCTAAATTTGACAGTTTCTCCTTTAATCAGTTTTTCTTGAAAACTTCAATAATATTATCTTATTGTTTTTATATCACACCATAAACTAGAATCTTTAAGCTTCAATTTAACATACTTATCATATCATGATTCTTAAAAACACAATAGATATCATTTTTTGAAAATTTAGTATTTTCTTAGATTTATAAATTTGACAGTTTCTCCTTTAATTAGTTTTCCTTGGAAATTTCAATAATATTATCTTATTGTTTTTATATCACATCATAAACTAGAATCTTTAAGCTTCAATTTACCATACATATCATATCATCATTCTTAAAAACACAGTAGATATGAGTTTTTGAAAATTGAGTATTTTCTTTGATTTCTAAATTTGACAGTTTCTCCTTTAATCAGTTTTTCTTGGAAATTTCAATAATATTATCTTATTGTTTTTATATCACATCATAAACTAGAATCTTTAAGCTTCAATTTAACATACATATCATATCATGATTCTTAAAAACACAGTAGATATGATTTTTTGAAAATTTAGTATTTTCTTTGATTTATAAATTTGACAGTTTCTCCTTTAATCAGTTTTTCTTGGAAATTTCAATAATATTATCTTATTGTTTTTATATCACATCATAAACTAGAATCTTTAAGCTTTAATTTAACATACATATCATATCATGATTCTTAAAAACACAGTAGATATGATTTTTTGGAAATGTAGTATTTTTTGGATTTATAAATTTGACAGTTTTTTCTTTAATAAGTTTTTCTTGGAAATTTCAATAATATTATCTTATTGTTTTTGTATCACATCATAAACTAAAATCTTTAAGATTCAATTTAACATACATATCATATCATGATTCTTAAAAACACAGTAGATATGTTTTTTGAAAATTTAGTATTTCTTTGATTTATGCATTTAACAGTTTTTTCTTTAATAAGTTTTTCTTGGAAATTTCAATAATATTATCTTATTGTTTTTATATCACATCATAAACTAGAATCTTTAAGCTTCAATTTAACATACATATCATATCATGATTCTTAAAAACACAGTAGATATGATTTTTTGAAAATTTAGTATTTTCTTTGATTTATAAATTTGACAGTTTCTTCTTTAATCAGTTTTTCTTGGAAATTTCAATAATATTATCTTATTGTTTTTATATCACATCATAAACTAGAATCTTTAAGCTTCAATTTAACATACATATCATATCATGATACTTAAAAACACAGTAGATATGACTTTCTGACCGATACTTTCTAGGTCTAGTTTTAGTGCTAGTATAAAACCACAAAATGCGTAGCTCTTAATGAAAAAACCTTTAGTTATTTATTGTTACCATTTCACTATCCGGAAATAAAGTGTTAATAAACAACATATTCCTCCACCAATATTTCGGGCAATTAACGTGATCCATAGTTGGCGGTTCAAAAACGGAATTTTGTTGGAACCATTTCATCGAAACTTCCACCAACCCCAAAGAGAACATGTAAGGGGCCGTTAATCTCGCGAATCGGTACGCAACCAATCCTAAAAAGTGCATGCACCCAGAAACGAAACCTTTACGACCAAGTGCGTCTAATTTTCCTTTGGCATTGGTGCGGAAATACAAAAATGATACTAAAAGGCCGCTGGTGAAGAAAAATGTGTCGACGCTAAATGCGCCGTTCGTTATCGTTTGGAAGAAAAATTCTTTTTGTACGACTTTGCGGTATTCCATGTTGTCCGAGTATTTAAAACCGATTATGCAGGTGTGACCCAAAATTACCCAAACCATACTAATCGCTTTTAAGCCGTGGATCGTGGAAATTGTGTCCGTTCCAACCGATCGATCGCAAATTGTGTTTATGTTGCGGCGAAGCGAAAACGAAAGGATTATTTGTTTGATGACGGTAACTAAACAAAATCATTATTAAAACTAATTAACTTCATGTTGAAATTAATTACTTGTTAAACAATCCTTAGGATGCGGTTTCGGTTCCATAACAATTTCCGTTTTAGCCTCCAAAGCATTGTTATTTTGTTCCATGTCGAAATCTTTACCACCGTTTTCATTTTGTAATTTAATAACACTCAATTTATTTGGGGTAAAAGTTTTAATTGATTTTTGATCCTTTTTCTCTTGGAAAACCAAAACGTAATCGTAAATCGTTCCGAGGATTAAAAATATTGTTACACCAATAGAAACGAAACTAAAACAAATTGTTTAAGAAAATAATTAGGTTAAAGTAAATAATTACAATAAAATTTTAAACGTTAAATCTCCATAAATATCGAACTCATCATGTACTGATTTAACGGTTTTAATTTCAACGCTTGTTTCGCTCGATTTTGCTGTGGATTCTGCTAAAATCTTAACCTCTTCGTTGGTACAAGAAAGTGGTAAACATAATCCCATTTGTACAATTCTCACCTAAAAAAAATTTGATGTGGTATTTTTGTTTATTAATCAAATTAATTTTTTGTTTACATCATCAGCTAAAGATGAATTTAATTCTAATTTCAACACAAAAAATGATACATCATATGGTGGAATGGAAGAATATGTTAAAATTCCCGTTTCGTAACCAATAGATTGACTTGGAGATGGTTTCTCGGAGATATCTCGAACTGTTCTTGTTAAATTTTGCTGGAAGTTGCATCAAAAATATGAAGAAATAATTTGTGCAACTCTATGTTTACAACTAAAATTTTGCTGATCTTTTTTTTTACTTACTTCTGCTTCGATTTTATGTTTAATATTTTTCGGTGCAATGTTTTCGCATAAATTTTGTGAACCCAACCAAAAGCGATTGCCCCAAAACCAGCCCGTTGTATAACGACCACTTGCATCTTCCACTATAACAATTAAAGAAAATTTATTATAAATAATAATAACATTTTTGAAGTTTAATGTGGTAAAAATGCTTTCAAATGAGTCCAAACTCGATGTTTATGTGTTTAGAGCAAAAAATGACTGGTTTGGATTTGACGTTTGTTAAGGAAAAAAATTTTTATCTTCAAAATAGTTAGGATTTAAGAAATGAAACTTTGTGAGGTTATAAAGTAAGGTTTGAGATTATTTTGTACCAAATTATAAGCTTCCAAGTTGATCGATTTATTTTATACAAAAGTTTAAAAATCTTAGTTTGGATTTGACGTTTATTAAAAGTGAGGTTATCGAAAAAATGTAAAACCTAACCCAAATGGTTAGGATTTAAGAAATAGAATTTTGTGAGGTTATAAAGTAAGGTTTGAGGTTATGTTAAACCAAATTATAAGCTTCCTGGTTGGCTGCTTAATTTTATTTACAATTTTAAACTCCGAAGTTTGATTTCGACGTTTTCTGAATTTAAGGTTAACAAAAAAAAATTTTTCTCCAAGAATTGTTAAGATTGAAGAAATGAAACTTTGTCAGGTTATAAAGTAAGGTTTGAGGTTATGTTCCAGCAAATTATAAGCTTCCTAGTTGGCTACTTTACTTTATATACAAATTTAAAAATTATAGCTTGATTTTGACGTTTTCTGAAGGCGAGGTTAAAAAAAAATTTTTTTTCTCCAAAATTGTTAAGATTTAAGAAATGAAACTTTTTGAAGTTATAAAGTAAGCTTTAAGGTTATGTTAAACCAATTTATAAGCTTCCTAGTTTGCTGCTTTATTTTATATACAATTTTAAAATTCATAGTTTGATTTTAACGTTTTCTGACGGTGAGGTTAACAAAAAAAAATCATTTCTCCAAAATTGTTAAGATTTAAGAAATGAAACTTTGTGAGGTTATAAAGTAAGGTTTGAGGTTATGTTAAACCAAATTATAAGCTTCCTGATTGGCTGCTTAATTTTATTTACAATTTTAAACTCCGAAGTTTGATTTCGACGTTTTCTGAATTTAAGGTTAACAAAAAAAATTTTTCTCCAAGAATTGTTGAGATTGAAGAAATGAAACTTTGTCAGGTTATAAAGTAAGGTTTGAGGTTATGTTCCACCAAATTATAAGCTTCATAGTTGGCTACTTTACTTTATATACAAATTTAAAAATTATAGTTTGATTTTGACGTTTTCTGAAGGTGAGGTTAAAAAAAATTTTTTTTCTCCAAAATTGTTAAGATTTAAGAAATGAAACTTTTTGAAGTTATAAAGTAAGCTTTAAGGTTATGTTAAACCAATTTATAAGCTTCCTAGTTTGCTGCTTTATTTTATATACAATTTTAAAATTCATAGTTTGATTTTAACGTTTTCTGACGGTGAGGTTAACAAAAAAAAATCATTTCTCCAAAATTGTTAAGATTTAAGAAATGAAACTTTGTGAGGTTATAAAGTAAGGTTTGAGGTTATGTTAAACCAAATTATAAGCTTCCTAGAGTTAGCCGCTTTATTTAAAATTCATAATTTGATTTTGACATTTTCTGAAGGTGAGGTTAGCAAAAAAATCATTTCTCCAAAATTGTTAAGATTTAAGAAATGAAACTTTTTGAGGTTATAAAGTAAAGTTTGAGGTTATGTTAAACCAAATTATAAGCTTCCTAGTTGGCTGCTTTATTTTATATACAATTTTAAACTTCGAAGTTTGATTTTGACGTTTTCTGAATTTGAGGTTAACAAAAAAAAATTTTCTCCAAAAATTGTTAAGATTTAAGAAATGAAACTTTGTGAAGTTATAAAGTAAGGTTTGAGGTTATGTTCCACCAAATTATAAGCTTCCTAGTTGGCTACTTTACTTTATATACAAATTTAAAAATTATAGTTTGATTTTGACGTTTTCTGAAGGTGAGGTTAAAAAAAATTTTTTTTCTCCAAAATTGTTAAGATTTAAGAAATGATGGTTTGTGAGGTTATAAAGTAAGGTTTGAGGTTATGTTAAACCAAATTATAAGCTTCCTAGAGTTAGCCGCTTTGTTTTATATACAATTTTCAAATTCTTAGTTTGATTTTGACGTTTTCTGAAGGTGAGGTTAACAAAGAACGTTTTCTCCAAAATTGTTAAGATTTAAGAAATGAAACTTATTGAGGTTATAAAGTAAGCTTTAAGGTTATCTTAAACCAATTTACAAGCTTCCCAGTTGGCTGCTTTATTTTATATCAATTTTAAAAATCATAGTTTGATTTTGATGTTTTCTGACGGTGAGGTTAACCAAAAAAATCATTTCTCCAAAATTGTTAAGATTTAAGAAATGAAACTTTGTGAGGTTATAAAGCAAGGTTTGAGGTTATGTTAAACCAAATTATAAGCTTCCTAGTTGGCTGCTTCATTTTATATACAATTTTAAAATTCATAATTTGATTTTGACGTTTTCTGAAGGTGAGGTTAGCAAAAAAATCATTTCTCCAAAATTGTTAGGATTTAAGAAATGAAACTTTGTGAGGTTATAAAGTAAGGTTTGAGGTTATGTTAAACCAAATTGTAAGCTTCCTAGTTGGCTGCTTTATTTTATATACAATTTTAAAATTCATAATTTGATTTTGACGTTTTCTAAAGGTGAGGTTAGCAAAAAAATCATTTCTCCAAAATTCTTAAGATTTAAGAAATGAAACTTTGTGAGGTTATAAAGTAAGGTTTGAGGTTATGTTAAACCAAATTATAAGCTTCCTAGTTGGCTGCTTTATTTTATATACAATTTTAAAATTCATAATTTGATTTTGACATTTTCTGAAGGTGAGGTTAGCAAAAAAATCATTTCTCCAAAATTGTTAAGATTTAAGAAATGAAACTTTGTGAGGTTATAAAGGAAGGTTTGAGGTTATGTTAAACCAAATTATAAGCTTCCTAGCTTTCTGCTTTATTTTATACACAATTTTAAAATTCATAGTTTGATTTTGACGTTTTCTGATGGTGAGGTTAACAAAAAAAATCATTTCTCCAAAATTGTTAAGATTTAAGAAATGAAACTTTGTGAGGTTATAAAGTAAACTTTAAGGTTATGTTAAACCAATTTATAAGCTTCCTAGTTGGCTGCTTTATTTTATATACAATTTTAAAATTCATAGTTTGATTTTGACGTTTTCTGACGGTGAGGTTAACAAAAAAATCTCATTTCTCCAAAATTGTTAAGATTTAAGAAATGAAACTTTGTGAGGTTATAAAGTAAGGTTTGAGGTTATGTTAAACCAAATTATAAGCTTCCTAGTTGGCTGCTTTATTTTATATACAATTTTAAAATTCATAGTTTGATTTTGACGTTTTCTGACGGTGAGGTTAACAAAAAAATCATTTCTCCAAAATTGTTAAGATTTAAGAAATGAAACTTTGTGAGGTTATAAAGTAAGGTTTGAGGTTATGTTAAACCAAATTATAAGCTTCCTAGTTGGCTGCTTTATTTTATATACAATTTTAAAATTCATAATTTGATTTTGACGTTTTCTGAAGGTGAGGTTAGCAAAAAAATCATTTCTCCAAAATTCTTAAGATTTAAGAAATGAAACTTTGTGAGGTTATAAAGTAAGGTTTGAGGTTATGTTAAACCAAATTATAAGCTTCCTAGTTGGCTGCTTTATTTTATATACAATTTTAAAATTCATAATTTGATTTTGACGTTTTCTGAAGGTGAGGTTAGCAAAAAAATCATTTCTCCAAAATTCTTAAGATTTAAGAAATGAAACTTTGTGAGGTTATAAAGTAAGGTTTGAGGTTATGTTAAACCAAATTATAAGCTTCCTAGTTGGCTGCTTTATTTTATATACAATTTTAAAATTCATAATTTGATTTTGACGTTTTCTGAAGGTGAGGTTAGCAAAAAAATCATTTCTCCAAAATTCTTAAGATTTAAGAAATGAAACTTTGTGAGGTTATAAAGTAAGGTTTGAGGTTATGTTAAACCAAATTATAAGCTTCCTAGTTGGCTGCTTTATTTTATATACAATTTTAAAATTCATAATTTGATTTTGACGTTTTCTGAAGGTGAGGTTAGCAAAAAAATCATTTCTCCAAAATTCTTAAGATTTAAGAAATGAAACTTTGTGAGGTTATAAAGTAAGGTTTGAGGTTATGTTAAACCAAATTATAAGCTTCCTAGTTGGCTGCTTTATTTTATATACAATTTTAAAATTCATAATTTGATTTTGACGTTTTCTGAAGGTGAGGTTAGCAAAAAAATCATTTCTCCAAAATTCTTAAGATTTAAGAAATGAAACTTTGTGAGGTTATAAAGTAAGGTTTGAGGTTATGTTAAACCAAATTATAAGCTTCCTAGTTGGCTGCTTTATTTTATATACAATTTTAAAATTCATAATTTGATTTTGACGTTTTCTGAAGGTGAGGTTAGCAAAAAAATCATTTCTCCAAAATTCTTAAGATTTAAGAAATGAAACTTTGTGAGGTTATAAAGTAAGGTTTGAGGTTATGTTAAACCAAATTATAAGCTTCCTAGTTGGCTGCTTTATTTTATATACAATTTTAAAATTCATAATTTGATTTTGACGTTTTCTGAAGGTGAGGTTAGCAAAAAAATCATTTCTCCAAAATTCTTAAGATTTAAGAAATGAAACTTTGTGAGGTTATAAAGTAAGGTTTGAGGTTATGTTAAACCAAATTATAAGCTTCCTAGTTGGCTGCTTTATTTTATATACAATTTTAAAATTCATAATTTGATTTTGACGTTTTCTGAAGGTGAGGTTAGCAAAAAAATCATTTCTCCAAAATTCTTAAGATTTAAGAAATGAAACTTTGTGAGGTTATAAAGTAAGGTTTGAGGTTATGTTAAACCAAATTATAAGCTTCCTAGTTGGCTGCTTTATTTTATATACAATTTTAAAATTCATAATTTGATTTTGACGTTTTCTGAAGGTGAGGTTAGCAAAAAAATCATTTCTCCAAAATTCTTAAGATTTAAGAAATGAAACTTTGTGAGGTTATAAAGTAAGGTTTGAGGTTATGTTAAACCAAATTATAAGCTTCCTAGTTGGCTACTTTATTTTATATACAATTTTAAAAATTCTTGTTCGAATATGACGTTTTCTGAAGGTAAGGTTCAAAAAATCTTTTTTTTTCAAAATTGTTAACATTTAAGAAATGAAACTTTTTGAGGTTATAAAGTAAGATTTGAGGTTATTTTAAACCAAATTATAAGCTTCCTAGTTGGCTGCTTTATTTAATATAAAATTTTAAAAATCATTGTTTGAATTTAATGTTTGTGGAAAGTTTTGTGTCTAATGTTAATGTTAATTTCCCTTAATTTTTTGTGTATCAAGTTTCTTAGATACTTTTTAATGTTGATTAAGGCCACTTCAAGTTGTCGATTTCTATCAAAACCACGCAATTTACAAGAATCGACCGTGAGTCAGTTCCAATTGATTTGCAACGTCAACATTAACTTTCAATCGGGGTCAACTTAATACTAGCTCTAAATTAATAGGAATTGTAAAGTTAATAATAATAATAATAACTGTTTTAATGTGTAAGAGGTGTTACGAGAGAAATTTCGTTTTCACTTCCGAATCGCCCTCGTTGCATAATGAAATTATTCCAGAAACGATAACGCCATCCGCTTAAATTGCTGTTTTTAGTTGTATAACGAGAGCAAAAGTGAAACAAAAATGAAAGAAAATAGAACTGGAAATTAATCAAGTTCGAAGACGTCAAGGACATATTACTTTTTAATTTTAATTGCGTATTGTGAAACTTTGAAAAAAACGTTTTATTAGTTTCTTGAAATTAATATCGTTTAACAATTCCAATAAGGAAGTTGGTAATAAAACACCAATAACATTAAAGAAAATGTTATTTCGTGTTAATAAAAAAAGTGAAAAATATTTTTAAATGTTATAACATAATTTTTCAGTCCAATTCGTGCCTTAATGAGTGTGTTATTAAATACGTAAATAAGATCGGGAAAAAAATAGAGCTTTTATGGTAAATCATTCCTCGAAGTGGATCGATTGGGTAACAGAATTCATAAGAAGGCATCCGGTAACTTTCACCTTCGACGCGCGAAGACGTCGAACGAAGAAATTTTAAACAAGAAACTTTGCTTTCTATAGCGGACTTTAAAACATCACGATGACCAATATAAAATAAAATAGACGTAATCGCCAATTTCGTAATATTAAAACCCGATTTTAATTTACAATATTTCACACAACAATTAATTTATTAACAATTATTTTAACAATTTCTCTTTTATTCATATATTATTTTCATTTCATAACCGAATGTTATCCAACATGTCCGGTTTTTTATATTTAAGGAGAAAGCTCGTTACTAAAAAAATTTCTGCGTGATTTTGTAACAAATTTCAACTTGACCGTTACGTCGATTTTCAATATAGAAGTACCAATTGAATTTTTTATTGCAATTAACAACAAAAAATACATAGAACTCACCCTTTACGTAATCAAAGGAGTCTTTCTTTGAATAGCAATGCGAGGATAACGAAATCGACAAATTTTTATTACTTTAAAGGCCAACCCAAGTGAATTACGCAAGATCAAACAATTATAATCTAGAAAAATTGAGCAAATAAATCAGAACGAGAAGGGCGGTAGCCTTTCACCTTCATAGAAACAACTTGAACTTTAAAACGCAGTTTAAACTTATTATTAATTCTTACTTTTCAATGCCCATTCTTCGTTATTTTTCAATCCCCGAATGTAAGTTTCAACGTCCCGCGAACAATTTTTACTCAAAACGTTTTGAAACTCGTTAAATTTTATGCCCAAATAATTGTAATCGAAAATATCTAAAACCCTCGAGATTTTCGTAACGGTTTCACCATCACTTTCACGATTTTCAATACTTTTGGCCGCGAATATCGCGTTGAAAAAGACGAGCACAAATAGAAAATAGTACATCTTTTCAATACGCTGCCGGCGAACGTTATCGTTACTGAAAAGTCTCGTTTGGTCACCTTCGCGGTTTCGTTTGCGTTCTGTTCCTTCGTTGTCTTTCGGCCAAAGACTTTCTCCGGGTTAACACTTTTGTGCGCCGAGCATTTCCTCCTTTAAGAGTGTTACGTATTATAAATGTGTATGTGTGTTTCACGATATCCAAATGGAAAGTGAAATTTCAAAGTTTGAATAATTTATTATTATAAATTTATTATTTAAAATAATTTTTTGAATTATATTTTTTATTTAGTCGCCATCTATTATCACTTTTAATAATTAATTATATTTTTTTCAATAATATTAAAATAACAACTTTTATTTTTTTATTCCTTTATTATAATAAATAATAATTTAAACATTTTATATTATTAATAACGATTAATATTTAAACATTTTAATTAATTGTAAAAAAAATTGATCTTATCCTTCCTAGTTG